CTCACAGACTGTAAGTACGTTTTTTTATATTTAAAGAATTTGCCACTGATGATTCAAAGGCCAGTTTTGAGCAGTGTAGAGTAGCGCTTGTTGTTTGTTGTTTCTCCGATCACAAATGCAGACATGGTTTTATGTTTACGCGACGCGATGCAACACAACACGTAAAAAGACAGTATAAGTCATTATATTTCATAATTATGTCCCCACTGGATGCAACAAATGCCTCGTTTATTAACCTTAAACCGCATAAACACATTTCATTACACCAAATACACAAAATAATGTTCTTTTTAGCAACATCATAAGACCTCTTTAAAATTTATACAAAATAAGTATTATAATGATTCCTTTTATATTAGTAGTAATAGAAAGGCAAACATTATAATACTTTCTCGTTTGCCGTCAGCATTCAGCAAATACGCATTTATATCATTTAAACAAATCTTTGAATGACTAATAAACATTTAATTTCACAGACCTTGCAAACTTAAGTCGGATCCAGCTGTGAGATCTTGTGAAGTGTGCATTTGTATCTTGCATGATCGCGTGTGCTCTGCGTAACGGTCGGTCCGTGTGAATTGAATGCGGACAGGAGGAGAGTTCAGCTTCACTGAGATGCGCGATGGACTAACTTTAAACTCTTGATTTCAAATTATGCTGCGCTTTATGTATTTGCCCACTGTCATATTCATGTCAGTTTCACTGTCTGCTGTATGTAAAACGAGTGTTACCTTGGCTTTATTTGAAAAAATGATTCCCAATGCACACAAACTTCCCAGAATACTGAGTGCCCTGTTGGTTACAGTGTTTACTTCCTTTTAAATTATATTTTTATTAAATATTTATTTGTGAAAAATACTTTGTCATCTAAAGTAGAAGTATGTTTATTTTACACATTTATTTTTTAATCCATTTTCAAATGATTTAAAATTTCTTAAATATTAATTAAATTAAATTAGATTTATACACCTTGCATTCCAAGATATCGGCACTGGCTGTCAAAAAACCAATATCGGTCGACCACTAGCACAGATTACAGCTGATTGATCAATTTTGTAAAACTGTCCTAATGTAGAGCTGCTTTATGTTGTTCATGTTCATGTTTCATAAAGAGGTGCCCCCAAACTACAAGCAGAGCTGATGCTGTACTACACAGAAGTCACACAGTAATCGTCTCCTACTATAATTTCTTTATATATGTCAGTATAGATTTGTACAGACATTGTCAGTTACCTGTTGGGTTGTTTTGTTGTTCAGGATTGTTCTCAGATGACGCTTGAGCTGTGCTGCTCTCCACTGGTAAGTACTCGAATGCATCCTCGAACACGTCGCTGCTGCTCTCAGCTGAAGCTACAGCTCTACTCTGCGTGGCTTGAGCGTAATCCAACACCGGCTCAGACTCGAGCGGATCTGTGTCTGCTGTCGGTTCTGGTCTGGATGTTTGTGGATGCTCCTGCGATGGCTCCTGGTCAGGCACACGAGGACACACTCTAGTTTTGAGGGTTTGGACGTGGCGTTTTACAGCCTTCCGCACGCTCCTGAAACAACCACAGCCTTTCCTCCCTTTTGTGTGTTTCTCTGCAAACAAAGAATATTGATTAGAAACATTATTATTAGCTCAGATTACAGCTGATTGATTAACTTGTCAAACTGTCCTAATGTAGAGCTGTTTTATGTTGTTCAAGAGAATAATTAGCAGGTTTTGCACTGAAGTTCATGTTTCTGGAAGAGACTCAGTGCTGATGCTATGCTACACAGAAGTCACACAGTAATAGTCTCCTACTATTATTTCTGTATACATGTCAGTTTTGATTTGTATTAACTGACAGTTACCTGTTGGGTTGTTCAGGATATTTCTCAGCTGAAACTGCAGTGCTACTCGACGGATGAGCTCTGCTGCTCTCCATCTTCACTTGTAAGTTCTCAAATGTGTCTTTGAACACTTCGCTGCTGCTGCTCTCTGTCTCCACTGGTGAGTCTGCACACATGATATTCGCTTTCTGCATCTTTGATTCTATAGACTGTGTTTGTTCTGTGTATTTGAATACCGTGTTTACAGACTGAGTTTGTTAACACTTTCTGTCAAGTTCAATCTCAAGGAACTACAGGAGCTTCAACTGATAGTCGCTGGACTGAACTCATTTAGTGGTATTATATGTTCTGTGCTATACCAGTCTGTGACGTCATAAATAGAACTGGCGTGTCACGTGACTCGTCGAGCGCGCAGCTGCTAGCGATCTGAGAGATCTACGCGAACAGTGATACAAACATATGTAAAGAGTTTAAAAAGGAAGAAATGGCCATCATTTACTCACCCGTATGTCGTTCCAAACCCAAAAGAAGATACTTTAAATGAACGGAACACGAATGAAGATATTTTGAATGAAATCTTGAGAGATTTCTGTCCCTCCATTGACAGTCTACATAAATACCACTCTGTCGCTTAAAAACAAAGAGGACTCGATCATAAAGAGACTCATAAAGACACTTGATCGCTTTATATGATGAACAGATTGAATTTAGCCGTTTTTTTCATTCTCTGCTGTAATAAAAAATCCCTCTAAATTCTAATAGATAACGTTACACTGGGTGAAATTGGTTCGTTCGCGGATGAACCGTTAATGAGAGTATTTAACTATATATTTTAGAAAGTTGTGATAACAGCAAGCTCATATATTATGGAATCATCGAGTATTCAAAAGGAAAATAAAGGCATTCCGTGTTAAATCCATATGGTTCACGGTTTGTCCCGTGTTTTAGCGCCTCACATTTAAAATCCGTAGGGAAACTGGTCTCAAGAAAACACCTACCCTTCACCAGCAACTGGTCTGAGAAAACTTGAGAAGAAGCGAAGGTGAGTTCGGCGACAGTCTGCGTATGTCTTCCGTGATTTGGTCAAAAATGTTTCGTGTTTCCTCGGGATATTTGAAATGAGGCAGCGCGCGCTAATGAGTGTGTCGACGGTTAGGAAGTACTGTGTAAGTATACAACATGTTATTTCCTTCTATTTTAGAGCACTTGGTGATCGTCTAATCAAAACAACAAAATATTGCAGTCGCACACCGCAGTGTTCAAATAAAGCGAGACTAGAAAACTTTGTTGGCATTAGTGGAAGTGCATTAGCATGGTTCAAATCGTACTTATATGACCGCCATCAATTCGTAGCAGTGAATGAATAAGGAATCACAAGTGCAGTATGGAGTACCTCAAGGCTCAGTACTAGGGCCGTTACTTTTCACACTTTACATGTTACCCTTGGGAGGTATCATCAGGAAACACGGTGTTACAGTTATGCTGATGATACTCAGCTCTATATTTCTTTGTGGCCCGGCGAAACATACCAATTTGAAAAACTAACGGAATGCATAGTCGATATAAAAAACTGGATGACGAGT